AAGTTAGTTCAAATGAATGACCTTGACCAACTTTCAAAGGTCAAAGGGGTCAAATGTCATAAAATCTTCAAACGACTTCTTCTCAATAACCAAAAGGCCCAGGGTACTGATATTGGGCCTGTAGCATGCTGGGATGAAGGGCTACCAAGTTTGTTTAAATGAATGACATTGACCCACTTTCAAGGTCACTGGGGTCAGATGTCTTAAAATCTTCAAACAACTTCTTCTCAATAACCAAAAGGCCCAGGGTACTGATATTGGGCCTGTAGCATGCTGGGATGAAGGACTATCAAGTTTGTTCAACTGAATGACCTTGACCAACTTTCAAGGTCACAGGGGTCAAATGTCGTAAAATCTTCAAGCGACTTCTTTTCAATAAGCAAAAGGGCCAGGGTACTGAAATTGGGCCTGTAGCATGCTGGGATGAAGGATTACCATGTTAGTTCAAATGAATGACCTTGATCCACTTTCAACCTAATGTCCTTGTTCGACAATCAAGGTCAGAGGCGTCATATGTTTAAATCTTTTAATAGGTTCTTATGAAATCTTAAGATTACAAGTGTTAGATTAATAACAGGTGAGCGATGCAGGCCCATTGGGCCTCTTGTTTTTTTACCCCATAACTAACAAGGGTTACTACTCTATCTATTTAGGTAGTTATCCTGTGAAATGTCAATGTATTACCTGTTCTTACTGCCTAGAGGGAGGGGGGCTGTGATTTAAGTGGGTTAGACAAATATATTTAATTACCAGGTAGATGATTATTTCCTGACAACACGGTGATAATATCATGTCATGAAGTTGAAATCTATTTTTGTAAATCATCTGCCATAACAGCTGTAAGAAGGTCATCATCCCCATCCCAGCAATCCTCATCATACCGACTCCCCAAGTTTGTGATTACAGTTCCTGCTGACACTCCACAACCTCCGCTGCTTCTGTCAGTATTACTTGGAATAGAAGTCACAGCCCCCTCATCTTTAACTCCACTGGTCTCTATATTGTTTTCGAATGCAGTATCAGTCACTTTAGCTGAGCCAAGTTTGCATCCCACACCAGTATTTGACTGGTGATGATTAGGTCTGTCAACATGTTGACCATTACAACTGGTCACTTCGGATGTTGCCCGACCTGTCGGAGCTATGACCTCAGTGAGCGAACTTTCCATTTCCATGATGGCTTGTAGACATTCCTGGTCATCTGTCTCCCCTTCAAACTCAATCTCAGACTCATCAAAAAGGCTGGACAAGAGCACCTCTTTTGGCAAGGGGTAGTCTGGAAAAGGAACAGTTGATCTACATCAAGAACATAGGATTGCATAAAATATATTCAATTTATCTACAAAACAAACAGAATTCCAGAGAGTGATAACATGCTGTAAATGTTTTAGATTTCCTAATCATAAAAAAGTGAGTCGAGAAACAGTGTTATTGAACACTGTTTGAAAACACATCTCATATCTGTGACCTTCAAAGAAGGTTAATGTCAAGTTAAGTAGACAGCTAGCAAACTAACACTAAAAGAATTTTCAACACAATTGCCACCTCTGACCTTAAAAAATCTTGATAGTCCTTCATTCCACCCGGATACTTTCTAAGTATCATCACCCTAGACTTTTTGGTTATTCAAAAGTCACTTAAATCTCTTTAACATCTCTGACACGTTTAGCTCCTGAGACTTTGAAAATGGATCAAGGTCATTCACACAAGCTTTGTAGCCATTTATCGCAACATGGTGCTGGGCAAACAGTAATACCCTGGTCTTCTTGGTTATTCAGAAGTTGTTCAAAGATGAAAAACAAGACAACCGATCCTAACATACTGAAGAAATATGTTAAATACTATGCTTTTGAGACTTTGATGGAAAGTAACAGTTGTACTCAATAAATGTGAAACAATATATCTTAAGCTGTGCACAGGTCATGATGTATGGCAGTGTGACAGAGGAAGGTTGATGTTTCTACCCACAGATCATGATGTATGGCAGTGTGACAGAGGAAGGTTGATGTTTCTACCCACAGGTGATGATGTATGGCAGTGTGACAGAGGAAGGTTGATGTTTCTACACACAGATCATGATGTATGGCAGTGTGACAGAGGAAGGTTGATGTTTCTACACACAGGTCATGATGTATGGCAGTGTGACAGAGGAAGGTTGATGTTTCTACACACAGGTCATGATGTATGGCAGTGTGACAGAGGAAGGTTGATGTTTCTACACACAGGTCATGATGTATGGCAGTGTGACAGAGGAAGGTTGATGTTTCTACACACAGGTGATGATGTATGGCAGTGTGACAGAGGAAGGTTGATGTTTCTACACACAGGTCATGATGTATGGCAGTGTGACAGAGGAAGGTTGATGTTTCTACACACAGGTCATGATGTATGGCAGTGTGACAGAGGAAGGTTGATGTTTCTACACACAGGTCATGATGTATGGCAGTGTGACAGAGGAAGGTTGATGTTTCTACACACAGGTCATGATGTATGGCAGTGTGACAGAGGAAGGTTGATGTTTCTACACACAGGTCATGATGTATGGCAGTGTGACAGAGGAAGGTTGATGTTTCTACACACAGGTCATGATGTATGGCAGTGTGACAGAGGAAGGTTGATGTTTCTACAAACAGGTCATGATGTATGGCAGTGTGACAGAGGAAGGTTGATGTTTCTACCCACAGGTCATGATGTATGGCAGTGTGACAGAGGAAGGTTGATGTTTCTACCCACAGGTGATGGTTGTGTTTAGCATGTTATACAACAAACCTTTATCTCTGCAAGTCATATTACTTAACATACCTGGTGATTTAAAGTTCTGCATCTTACAGTCAGGATCATGACATTTCTGGTAGTATACTGCCTTCTTCAGATCAGCAATCATCCTACAAATGTATATATTTACCATTCAGACATCTTAAACATGTATGGCTTTATGATTCAAACACTGCCCATTCTGTATAAATGAGTCCTAATGTGTGAAACGTGACAATATTGTTTTCTTTCACATCTACACAAGTGGTATAGTATTATGTTTACAGTTACGTTAAACATTCCAAGAGTCCATTAGTAAACTGATTATATAACAGGAGTGTGATAAAGATTTACATCTGATCAACATGTTTGTTCTACATTTTACACCCTAAACAAAAAGTTGAACTTTGACTTATGTATTTGTAACTGAGATTCCTCCATATAATTATACATGGATGACAACATAATGTGACTTACATAATGTTATTACTCTTGTGAGGACGCCCAATGTTTTCACACCACCTGTTTTTGCCAATTTCATACACAATTATCTCCCCTTGCGGGAAGTACATCCAGTGACGGATGTATCCTCTTGTGCCGTTCCTCTGGACACAGGAGGTAATGTAGTCATCTAATTCTGGATATTGAGAATGTTGATGTCCATCCAGTAGTTCTGAAAGTATAATTGATAACCTCTTATTCTGCACATTAAAGGGACAATTTATAATCTTGCCACAAAATTCTTCATGATTATATAGTTTGATACTCCTTATGAACAATTCATGTCGAGAAATTAGCAAGAGACAATGTTTTCTTGGTGTTTTTAATCAGTAATGGAGAAACCCTTAAATGTTCAGCCATATTTTTTAGTGGCAGCTGTCCATAAATTTGTAGCTAACAAAAAGGTTTTTCCAGCTGAAGAGAGAAGGTAACTTCTCGCTTTATTTACCTAGCCTCTACGGAACACAAGTTCATGCATTAAATGTTATAAATGAGTGATCTATTTTGTGTTTAAACCTACTGATATCGTACTTTCTGCGGTTTGAAATCTCCCTGCGGCACCCTTTCAGTGGATGCACGCTTTAATTGAACCTGTTCGTTTTTATTCAAATCCAAATGTTAACAGAAATATCTGGTTAGAGGTATAATTTATCATACTTATAATTCTTACTTGCGATATACTGTGTAAATTCAAGAATGTGTTATGTGTGAACTCAGACTCATAACTGACACTGTGTTGTCGGTCGACAGCTTAGTGCTGTACATGTTTATTTCTCGCTGAAAGGCCTGGATATTGCGCTATTTTCGGCGTAGCTATTTTTATCACGGCTTTCACAAAAGATGAAACTGACCACACTGGGCTTCATGTCATGTCATTATCAACTACGTAAACTTTCGTTAGGAGATATATATTCTGAGTATTGACTCTATTTTCAGGTTGTCATTTGACTAAATAGCCCCTTGAAGACTCATGTCTGCACAAAGAACTGTTGGAAAAATTCTTTTGAAACATTTTTAAACAACATACATAACTCCATCTAAAAGGGAGATAACTCCAACTTATATACTATATTTACATCTTCTCAATGTAAGTGTTACATGTACCATAGATCTTTCAAATCCATTCAGTAATTTAGGAGGAACAACATTTTTACACAAAGATTCAAAACTCCATAACAAGGGGAGGTAACACCTACTTATCTCCCTTACTGACATCCCCTCAATGTAAGGGTTCTGTATATCAAGGTCATTCAAATTTATTCAGTGTCATGGAATTCGACTGAAAACTGTAGGAATTTTTTGTACACGACTGTGTTTACAGACAGAAGGACGGATAACCTGATTCCAGTTACCACTAACTTCAATGCAGCCATTCCCTACTTTTTGTCATGTAGTTATACAAATGTTAATACCTGTTGTTTGTGGTTTGTCATCTTTATGACATGTTGATGAACGGTGATGAATCCGTTCACTGTCAAATGTCAGAATTCTTGTGTCAGCCTGATATCTGTGAAAACAAAATCACTAAATGCCATAAAAGCATAAAAAAGACAGGTGTTATCTATTAACATGTTTGCAGTAATTAAAAGTTGATTGTACATGGTGTTTATTAATTTGTCTAAATGCTTTATTATATAATAACCTTGTTTTCAGGGAGTCATAGATAACAACATCAATATCCAGTTTCAATATGAAATACTCTTGTCTCTAACTTAAAACTCAATTCTAACAAAAATATTGATAAAATGAAACCAATATTTGATAATCCATATGTTTATAAAACTAACATCAGACATGTTTGTGTATGTCGTATATGTATATTGCAGTGTTACTTCAAGCTCAAAATTAACAAGAGGGCCAAAGGACATGTCATTCTAACAACTTTGATAACCCTCCAGGTAACAGTATACAGTAGAGGGTTGTGGCCATGGGTGATATTTTTGTTAAATGGCCAACCCCTGTATAATAATATGTAAAAAAAATATAAAAATAAAACTGTACTAAAATTGGTATAAGCATGATGAAGTGGGCTATGTGAGCTTCACATTTAAAAAAAAAAAAAAAAAAGTTTTTTGGGTTCAAAATAAAATTTTGGCCATAATCCGAAAGCTAGCTTTACAGGAGGTAAAATTCTGACAACAGCACACGACGCAAAATTGCAAAAAATTCAAGTTTTACAACTTTACTAGGACCCAGAACATTCTGCAACCAGGTAGGTAATCTTTAATTTCAGACAGAACTTAGGAAAAAGTTACTAGTTGCAGGGGTCAAATAGCAATTTTTGGCATTTTTTGGTAATTTTTGATGTGGTAACCATGGTTTTCACACAAGTGACATACATAGAAAAAAGAGGTTTATACACTTCTCAGTACTTTATATGTATTGTAAATGTAATGCAGTTTACAAATATATATACATGTATACATGTGTTGTGTAGGGTAAATCCGCTGTGTTTACATTTCCTCGACATGTGCCTTGTTTATCAGAGTCTGGCCATTTCTACTGTATACTGCTACCCCAACTCCATACCTTATGGCCCAATGATAACCCTCCAACTCCATACCTTATAGCCCAATGATAACCTTCCAACTCCATACCTAATGGCCCAATGATAACCCTCCAACTCCATACCTTATGGCCCAATATCATAGCCCTAAGTCTTCTAAAATTTCAGAAGGTAATTTATTTTAGCATGTTTAATAGCCCCTTATCCTAGCTACCTACTGTTAAAATACCATGACCCTAACCTTAATCTTTTTAACGAGATATCAAAAATGTCAAATGTTTATGGATGACGAAGCAAGATAGCAAAAGGTCAGTTGAGCCATACGTTATTTATATTTATGGTAAACTCTACTTTTCTTCCCAACAAGTAAATTGCATTTTTCTGTAAAGCTGTAAGTGTTAAACTCACTGTACATTAGCTATGAGAGAGTTCATAAATATAAGGTTATCAGATTTATCCTCTTCCACCTCCTGCCTGGTGGAGATGGTGTGTTTAGGACTTCCTGCTGACTTATGCCTGGTAGGGTGTGGACTGTACAGGTTGTGAGGAGACAGTACCAGTGGGTTGTCTTTGCCCAGCTTACAGGAAAGGTATAGACGGAAATTCCTGTTCTTCGTATACACACCTTCATTATCAATATACAAAATAACAGCCTCTTCATACAAAAATGAATATGACTAATTTTATGCTTTAAACATAAAATTTATCATTCACAATACTTATATTGATTGTAATTATTGGGTGTTCTGTTACTATTTCCCCAACACGTCTCTTATTTACTAGTAACTTGAAAGTAAGTTCCAAATCTTTCTTCTAAATGTGGTAACTTTTACACTGGTGTATGATGTATATTGAATTGTTTCTTGTAAATACTGAATCTGTTTTTATCTTCACAAAAATAAATCTCCAATAAATGAAACTGACTTATAATTACCTTATAGAGAAACGCTACAGAGCTAACACAGCACCGATAATACAAATTTTGACCAATAGATTATTAAAGAGGAATATGATATTACCAAGATCACAGAACAACACATCCTCCCCATCCTTGTTTTTCACCATCAATGACTCCAAGTCTTGGGCTGTAACACCCTCTGGCAGTTCCTCGGTGTTCTCTGTGTGACCTTGAGCATGTCTGGGTGTCATGTTCTCCCCCAATGACTGATTTCCACTCCCACAACATTGCTTCCTTAACTCACTGGCCACAAAGTGAACAAAATTACCTGAAAATGGCACAGGTTAACTAAACTGCAGATTACTTTTATTTTAAAATGAATTTTCTGGGAACATTTCCCTTTTCCATCTTAATTTGTATGAGTTTTAATAAAGTCCTATTGACAGCACTTTAGTGTAAAAAGTGTTTCGAAAGGAATAACAGCTATGTGAACTAAACACAACTCAGTTTTAAAACTACTTCCAAAAGTACCATTTTAGATAAGATGTACAAACAAGTATGATAATGTCGTCCTCACTTAGAAAGCAGTTAAGAGCAGTGAAGTAGGTACCTGCATGGATATTGTCCCTGAAGGCGACTGCTGGGATAACATATAACAGATGGCGACTGAATTTTAACTTGGTGCTGAAAGATAAAGGGGAAAACAATTCTGAAAACATTCATCTTTAGTAGAAATCAAATACATGTTTGGACACTTATCACTTTTGATGTCTGTGACAAAAAACTAGCAGTTTTATCAAGTTGACAGAATCCAATATATAATTGACAAAAATGTTATAAGTATACTTACCTGGCATCTAGATCTAGAACATCTTTCCTATCACATCTGATCCCAAACTTGTTTTTTAACCAGAAACTGATATACTGAAAATACACAACAGTCCTGTTAACTAACCTGAAACAGACAAGTCAGAAGGCACAGTATATTTTGCTATATATCACTTATCATTTGTCAGTGGAAAGCGTGAGACTTAAGTAATGTGCACATATCTGGTCCATAACAAAACCAGATGTTTTCTCCACTATTCCTGACCTTACCTAGAACACAAATAACTAACTTTATCTGAGGAAAGAAATGTTTCCCTTACTCTAAAATGGGAATGATTGGTCAACGCGGTCCCCCTCCTGTAATACATGTCTAGGAACTTACTTTAAAACTGTAGACATCTGATAATACCAAACCAAACAAGTTGCGTAAATTAACCCGATACAGGCAATTTTAGAAAGATCCCTCTGGAACATCCTGAGAAATAGCATTAACAAAAACATTCACTGTCAAAATTCAAGATAGCCACCTGTCGGCCATTTTGTTTATATGATTAGTCTCAAAAGTAAACGTGCACAACTACAGACCAAGGGGAACCTTCATACAAATTTTCAACATCGGTTGGTAGTTATCATATCTGAAAACTTTCGTTGAAATTGGCCGCACAGTTTTGGAGGAGTTGTCCAGACAAGGATTTTTCAACAAAGGGCCTTAACTTTGTAAAAAAAAAGGGACAGAATGATAAAATAATACCTGGATGCACAACTTCAGGTGGTAGTTATCAAATCGGGAAAGTTTCGTTGAAATCCATCCATTACTGTAGAACGAGTTGTCCGGACAAAACGTTTCGGGATATTTTCAACAAGAGCCATAACTTCGTAAAAAAGGGTCAGAATGAAAAAATCATATATGGATGCAAAACTTCAGGTGGTAGTTGTCATATCTGGAAAGTTTCGTTGAGAGTGATCAATAACTTGAGAAGGAGTTGTCCAGACGAAAAGATTAAAGATTTTTTCAACAAAGGGCCATTACTTCGGAAAAAAAAGAAGGTAAGAATGAACAAATTATACCTGGATGCACAACTTCAGGTGGTAGTTATCATATCTGGAAAATTTCGTTGAAATTGGTCCATTACTTTAGAAGGAGTTGCCTGGACAAACTTTTTTTCTACGGACGGACAGACAGACTTCATTGCGGGGGGTATAATTAAATACCAAATGAAATATCTACTGTACAGAGAGAAATCCCAGTAAAGTCTGACACCTCAGTAACATCCGTCCCCTCACCTTGATGAAAACGTCTACCATACAATCACCATCTCTGTCAGGATTATGTTCCTTTATAAACTCCAAGTCAAAGTAGAGTTTACACACAGCACCTGTAAAATAGAAATAAAAGCTACATCACACGTATTCTACAGTCTACTAATCACAGGAGTACTACAGGTACCAGTAACATTTACAATCACCATAAAAAGAGGCTCAGAGGGCCCATTTTACTAAACTGGATATTGCAGTGATTTTCTATAGTACTTTTGGAAATTATGGCAAAATATGATAAGGGGAAATACTAATAGTGAAGTTTGGTAAGAGATATGCCCATTTTGCATCAGGAATGGGAATCGTTATTTGAACCCAGTTATATAGTCAGGAAAAAACAGATTCTTCAGAGAATTCAAACTTGTCTTTACTAACTTTCTGGGATGACTTCATAATGATGCCGCAAGCTTTTCTTCAACTGACTAAAATTGAAAAGAAAAATATGTAGACTCAAGGCTTCAACATTACAAGTGTAGTCATGATATGTACCAACAGGAACATTAGAGACAATAAGTCAAGTAGAAAAAATATTTATTATTTCATAAGCAATATAGAATGTTGGTAATACACACATGCTCCGGCTCCGGTTTTAATGGAAATGGAGCTAAACACATACCTACCATATGTTCCACCTGTGATAGGTCTGTCATGCTTTCTTAGTATGTGTCCTGGCAGGATATAATGTTTATAGTTTATTTATAGTTTAATACCCTAGATTTGTCAGGGAAGACTGTGTGAATGCTATACATTGTCAGTGACACTGTACTAGTGTAACAATATAATGTTGATGATCTAGACTCAGTCTACACACCACAACCACATCACAGGTAAGTCTGTAATGATAATTTGTATATGACTAGTGTTAATTCCCAGCCCTGATTGGATGAGTGATGTCATGTGACAAGTTTGTAAATCGGTTACAGACCTCGTTCTATGAATAGAAAAGTGTTACAGACCTGGACCTATAAATAGAAGTGTTACAGGCCGCTACAAAAAATAGGCCTAGGTAATTTCCCAGCCATCTATTAACAGCTAATCAAAATGCTGCATGACAAAATGTTGACATGAAAACTTGTTTGTGGTTTTGAATTAAAGTGAGTAAAAGACAGCAGGCTTGGACCAAATCATGCTTTCTACAGGGTTTGTACAGATATGGTGTTACTAATCCCAAATGTTTGAAAAAGGGAGACAAATCATGTTGTAAAGCATCGAGTGATAGACAAATAGATGATGATGTTTATCGATGTGACAGACAATATCTAAATTCTACTGTGCAAGATCCCAAACTTTTAAAGTGATTCAAAATTAACTGATTTTATTTGTCACACTTTTGTCACTATTTTAGATAATAAATGTCCCTCTCTAGTCTTTTTCACCCCAAATCAATTTTAATCTTCAGGATTGTCCCTCGTAGCCACCTGGTACAAATAGCAGGTATGCATTTTTAAAAAGGTAACAAAAGCAGTCAATTTGAAAATGCAAACTTTTAAGCCATACTGATAATCTAATATTTTTCAAAGTAAGGAGGGAGGGCAAGGGGGATGGGATTTCATCATACTTTTAATCTACTTCTAATTGCTATATTTTGAATTACTCATGCCCAATGTTAAGTATTTGTTGGTACTAAAGGGAAGAAACACTTTTCTCTAGTATAATTTGTTTTTTGTTTTCCTTGTGTTATATTAACATTGATAATACTAGGTAAAATTCTAAAATAACTGCATTATGGTACTTATAGTTCAACTGGCTTCCCCACAGAACAACGGTAACTGATCATGAATGTATCCAATTCGTGTTTAACAGTCTGTTTTTCATATATAGACATGTAACAATCCATGCCAATGGGGTTAATTTCAAAAAGAACTTACCTATATTTTTGCTATATCGCTATATAGACTTAATTATTACAAGCTACAACACTAGTTTCCATGATACTGGGTGCCTTTCCTTACTTCTAACATAAATGAACAATTCCACTTGGTTAGTTGACACAAGAGTAGATACCTGTAGTAATGCCAAAACACAGGATATGACGTCACTAGATATTGCCTCTGTCCACTTTCTGATCCAAGGATCTCGCTCTCAAATGCAAACACGTGTAGATCCTAAAAGTTGTAAGACATGTACAGGGTTATACATAAATACAAGTATTTCAACTTACGTTTTACTTTATAAGAAGTTAAACTCCTGATATTGCATTCCATGAATTTTTACCCCTGTGCTGGGGAGGGGGGGAGAGGAGGAGAGAGAACAAATAACATAAGGATAAAAAATAAAGCTACTATTAAGTTTTTATCATTATCTACAGAAAATAAACAAATCATACACAAAATTTGTTCTGGGAACACTTTAAAACTTTTCCATCCATGAAGTGTATTTGATTCTATTTTTTTCAATTTGTTGCCAATTTTTACACCATCCCTCAGACCTCTGAGAGAGTAAAAATCTTACTTTTTCGCATTGTTTACCAGACTTCCCATCATAATAATTCTGACAAAGTTTGAACTCATTTTTCTCAGAAAATCAACAAAACAAACTCAAAGCATTACCCCTCAATCAGTTTAAATAAGTGTTACCCCCTCAATCAGTTTAAATAAGTGTTACCCCCTCAGTCAGTTTAAATAAGTATTACCCCCTCCCTCTGGCAGAACAGATGACCTGGGGATAATGAAATGTACAATTCAGATAAAGCACTTTCATATATATAGCACATCATTATTCACAACAAGAATTTGTCTATAAAATACCTGAGTTTTAGGAAGAACAGTTTTGAACATTGGTCAATTTTCCATTTGGAATCCCTTCCAAGCTGATGGTGGGGGCTAGAAACCTAATGATCAACTTGTTTTGACAAGTTTGACAGAAATCCATTCACATCAGAGAAAAATGCTAATGCTCAAGTGAGTGAAGTGACCTAACAAAATCACAACTATATATATAGTCAGGCACACTATTGTGCCTGTTAAGAAACATTACAGATATGTCTTATTCAGACATCATGACATCACTTACAGCTGCCTGGCTCCTAGCATATAAAAAAGCATCCTGCTGTTTGAAGAATGTCTTCCATTTCACAGATGGGCCTGATATCCTATTAATGATAAATGTATAAAAATATATATATAATACATCTTATCCTTATTACAGTCAATTTTGTATAATATTACTATTAAGAGTAAAATTGTTTACTGCATAAAGGAAATTCATGTGCAAGGATAATTTAAGCTTATCACGACGAGCTGGATTACAAAACTTTTGTCCAGGTGTATGGTCCCACCAACATGTTGCTGAAAGGTATAGACATGTACGTGTACCCTTCTGTGTTAGCCATTATCAAAACATGAGCCTCAGAAAGGTATAGACATGTACGTGTACCCTTCTGTGTTAGCCATTATCAAAACATGAGCCTCAGAGGGCATACATATACTGCCCACCTGAATATTTAGGCAATTATGGCAATTAAAAGCAAATATAACAAATAATTATATAATGATCCCAGGGAAAGGGCTAGATCCCGAACCACTCTTTGTAGCTTACCTGGTATGTATATCGAATCTTCCTGTCAGCTATTGTACATGATGTTATAGGACCCAGAGTAAGACACCAATGGTATCGGTCTCAAGTTCAAACCACATTTCACATTCTTATCACCAGTATAGCAACTCAAAATGACATACTATCCCCTTAATATAATCACCGAAGTATATAAATACATAAATATGAATTGATTTTCAAAAATAATTCTAGCATTAGCATAACTTCATACGTCTGTTTAAATGTGTCAGGTATCTTCTCAGCATGATGTTTCTTCACACGCTCATTCACAGCAGCTTCCAGTTTAGACCATTGCCTGAAAATACATCAAAAGGATTGTATAGATGTATGAATAAATCATATAAAAAGAATCACCGAACAACTGGTTTTAGAATTAAATTACAAAAGGTACAAAATAGTAATAGTTAAATTGAACACTATTTTTGTACTAGTATGGCAGAAATTGCCGCAGAATACCGATATTTATCACATGAGTGAAAAATATCTGGTATATTCTGTCATGCAAGTTTATGATATATATATTACAGAGAATTTCTGCCAATATATAATTAAGAAAACATTGTTGTCCCCTTTTTGCGACTTGACTGTTCGCTATGTTTTTACCCATGTCAACCTGGATTGTTGTAACTTTCTTTGATTTTAGTGGCTATTATTTTGTGTGGTAATTTGAACAGGATCAACATTAACATCATTTAATTAATACTGTTTGAAATTACCAGAGGTTTACCATATCCACTTAGTCTTGACAGGTATGCGGCCTCATTTTCTTTTAACTATAAACTTTTAGACCAGGTACACCCATGGTAATACATTTTTTTTACATCCATTTATATCCACATATTTTGATATCCACAAATAACTTATTATTGATTAATTAAAATTATGCAGAAACAATTCAAGAAACTTCAAACTTCTAAATGATATCTTCCTAAATTGAAGCATAAGTGGTATTGTGTAAAAAGTACATAAAACGGATTAAGGATATGACATGTAACAATCATCTTTTACATGAATATCAGGAACACATAAATCGGGACCGATATTATGCATTTAAATCACAGGAGCCTGAACTTCTGTCAAAAATGAATAATAACAGTAATACAAAAAAAAGAATAGAATTTTATAGGCATTGTTTTTGTAATACTGTTATTATAAATTTTTGACAGAATTTCAGGCTCCTGTGATTTTAATGATACTGGGACGATCAACCAGTTGCTGTGTTTTGATTTACAGTACCGTTTTTGTTTGCCTCCATAAAAGCTTGATATACCACGAGTATCTGACATTGTCAATGCTGAAACTTCACCGTTGTATATAGATCATAAGAATGGCTTTACGTTCGGTTAAGTAGAACGTTGTACCGCTTGATGTTTGTTTACAATTTCCATCTTGCCGCCCTTTTTGACAGGGAATCAGACTCCAACAAAGGCTTTTATCCACAGAGTAAAGGAAGCGCCTAAACGACGCGTAAAAAAGTAAGTGTCTATCAGCACGGCTTTGTTTCGTTCGACACAGATTGGCGCAAGAGACTTGATTGCGCTGAAATTCGGCCAAAAATATTCGATGAACACACTGAGTTGTATTTGATTAAATTCATACAGGTAAAATGGGGAGATAGTGATTTGAATCCAAAAGAATCAAATCAGATTTGAAATGAGAGTTTCTATGGTGCACACCTTTGAAGCAGAGACATAACCGTCAAATTTATATAAAAGCCAGTAGGCCTATATCCCTTATAGCTACGTCTCTCTTTGCAGCATCTAAAATAAAGCAGATACGTAGACTGTATATATACTCGATCAGCATCTGCTGTTATAGATCAAGTATATGAGTGCAGTAATGGGAAATATTCTGAATTTAAACACTTACACTACTCTTTATTTAGAGTCGGCACAGGCATTTGTTTCTGTCAATAAAAATCAGTCGCGAGAAAAAAAATCACACCCTACTCAATTTTTTTCTCGTGACAATTTTTATTGACAGAAACAAATACCTGTGAGAGTGGGGTTGTATAAACAGTAAAACATTAGCTCTAGAGAGCTATTGGTCCGGCAATATTGTATTGTCTTCATGGCACGTGATCAAAAAGTAACGTTGGTAAAAATGGCATACAGGCGGCCTTGCCTCAGATAATTATATTTTAGATTATACTTCTAATGGTACATAATAAGTCAATCAACACGAGAAGGCTGCTTATAGTGATGCCGTTAAGTTTCATTGAATCTGATTCTGTTAATGCTGGGAAGATAATTGCTGAGAATTCGACTGATGCTCATTCAACCGACGTTGGCGCCAGTAATTATGAGACTATGGTCTGCATTTGATTACAATCATAAGTTTAAACATATTTTATTGTACAAATATACAAATGGATTGGACAACAAGTTATTACAAGGGTATGGAGGTGGAGGGGAGGGGGATAGGGAAGGGGGGTTACCTAGAAAAGAAATATTGTAAACTGTGAAAAGGATCCGCATTTGAATAAATTATATATTATACAAAATTTCATGACATGCAGCCCGGTATAGTAATTTTATAATGAACAAGATCAATGTAACAAAGTCATCAGGCAAAATAATGAAATGCAATTTCATAAAAATATTTAACAACGTACACATATAAATAAAAATAAGGAATGATAATTATAATTAGCAAAACCTAGTGCTGGATTTGATGTAATGATGAACCTGCTCAAAAATGTTTGTATTGGTTTCTACCGAAAGTTGGGTATTACCAGACAAAAGCAATTCTAAATCAAAATCAACATACAAGGCATTCAAATTTTGGAACAGGATGCGTCTTTCGTCGTTAAAAAGTAAGCACTCATTAAAAAAGTGAAAGGTATTTTCACAGGGATGGCCACAATTACAAACTGAACTATCAACAAGATTCACCCTATAAAGATCATATTTAAGTGGACTACACTGATATCTAAGTTTTGTATGCAAAATGTTTAATTTACGTTCACCGAAACCTAAGTAGATTGGCGGAGGAGATAGTACATTTGAAGTTAACGAGTTTTTAAAAGATTGTAAAGAAGTCAATGATCGTACTGAAAGGTCCAATGAATTCCAACTACGAAGAGTTGAAGGTATAAAAGATGAATTTGTTAGAGAAAGCCTGAAAGGAAGAACTCTATAATCATTATTGTTTCTAAGGGTGTAACGGTTATTTTCTGCAACGGTAGACGGCAATAGATCATTTAAATAGTCCGGAGTTAATTTATTGTGCATCTTATACAAAAGTTGAAGTTTTCTGCGTTTTCTTCGATTTGAAAGAGTTTCTAGACCAGATTCAAAAAGTAAATCTTCGATTCTGGCAGAAGAAGGAAGTCCAGTAATTATACGAATAGCTTCTCTTTGGGCTTTCTCTAACATTTCTGTTTCATAAGTTGTGCAACCATCCCACAATTCACAAGCATATTCTAAAACTGGTAAAATAAAAGATTTATAAATCTTAAGATTATCTCGATTCAATAAGTATTTGAGTCTACGTAAGACGTTGACTTTTTTCATAACTGAAGTATATATTGCACAAATATGATCCCCCCATTTTGCCCTTGAATTAAAAATAACACCTAAATGTTTGATGATCAGTAAAATTTAAAAATTCGCCATTATTCTAATTCTAATTCTAAATCTTCATTAATTTCAACCGAGTTTGAAACAAAAATTACTTCAGATTTTTTCTGGATTGAATGTTACTAACCAAGTTTGGGACCATGCATTAAGAGACTCGAGATCTCTATTCAGAACCGTTTGTATTTCTAGACACGAAGTTGACTCAAAAACATCAGCAATATCATTAATATAGATACGAAACAAAAGAGGTCCAAGAATCGAACCCTGAGGAACACCTGCTTCAATAAAACCTAAGTGGGAGTAAGTATTATTCAAAAAGACTTTCTGGTGCCTCTGAAATAGGTAATTTCCCAACCATTGATAAAATTCTCCTGAAATTCCGTAAGATTTTAACTTAATCATCAAACCCTTATGCCAAACCCGATCAAAAGCCTTAGAAATATCGCAGAATACCATACATACATGGTTTTTTTCCTCTAGAGCAATACAGATGTTATGATAAATTTCAATGAGTTGATATACAGTAGAATGGCCAGGCAAAAAAACAGACTGATACTTATAAAAAAAATGAGTTTTCAATAAAATAGTTATGCAAGTATTTGAAAATTACTCTCTCAAACACTTTGCCAACTGTAGATAATAAAGAAATTGGTCTTTAATTAGAGGGAGAATGCCTGTCACCTTTTTTAAACAGAGGCATAACTTTGGCTGTTTTCCACGTGTTTGGGTAAACACCAGACGATAAAGACATATTAAAAACCATTTCGAGGGGAACACAAACAGTTTCTGATGTGTTTCGTAGCATATGATGACTGATTCCATCCTCACCCGAGGCCTTACCAAGCTTCAATATCTGCAAATTATCTCGTATTTCATTAGTATTGACTCTAATGGACCTAAGACTCTTGTCAGTTTTTGGCTCGATGAAAGGAACCGCAGTATTTCTGTCATCCACACGAGTAATATTGCAAAAATAGTCGTTTAATAAATTAGCTTTGGCTTCGTCACTAGTAACCACATTATCAGAAACAGGATCTACAAGAGTAGGTATAGATTGTGTAGTACCAGACGATTGTATTAACCTTTTGATGAGTCTCCAATAACCTTTTGGATCAGATGAACATTTTCATAAAATAATTTACGGGCATAGTTTTTCATGCTATTAACCTTATTCCGTTGAGATTTGAATTTGTTGATGTCCGAATATGTTTGGTTGACCTCGCAATTTTATGCAACTTATCTCTAATTTTTATTGTTTTTCTTAATTCAGAGGTCATCCATGGTTTATCATTAGGTCTCACAGTTACATCTTTTGATGGAATACATATATTTGCAAATATTAGGAACGTATCAGTAAAAAGTTTACAGGCAGTATCAACTGAATTACAATTTTAAAAAAGTTCGTTCCAATTATAATCAGAAATAAGATCACTAAATCTGTCAAAATCTGCCTGCTTATACATCCAAATTTTTCGCTTAAAGATAGGTTTGACAATACAGGGAATATCAATGCAAGCAATACAATCGTCATGGTCACTGAATGATTTGTCTATTGTTATAACAGGGGAGTCAATACAGGAAAGTGAGTCTGTTAAAAGTATAGGGTCAAGTAGGCTAGATCGAGTCGGTCCAATACGAGTCGGTTAATTTATAACATTTACCGTACTAAAGGAATTAATAATATCAAGAAAAACATGGTTACGAGATGCAGTTAATAAGTCGACATTTAAATCCCCCGTGATTATAACATTTGGTGAAATATCTAGGGCAAGGTTTAAGGACGTACGTAAATTTTCCCAAAATGGTAAAACAGAATTTTCAGTAACCAATACAAAATTTGGTAGAGTGATTTTCAACCAAATAATCTCATCACCTGGATATTCTAATTCCAGCAAACGGTCAACTTTTAAAATATTATTGATATAAACCAGAACACCACCACCAGCGAAATTTCTATCAAGTCGAAAAGGTACATGAAAACCAGTTATAAGTAAGTCGTCTATAGATACCTGATTATCTTAATGAGTTTCAGTTAAGCATATAACATCATATTCACCAGATATATCCTCTATGTAATCTAATTTATTCCTAACACTTCGTATATTTAAATGAAATATTGAAAGCTCTCCATGCCTCGGGCCAGGATTGGACTCGATGTCCATATGCTGTAATAATAGTAAAAACAAGATTATAGTGAACTCAATATTTCGAAAGCATGAAAAAATTAAAATGTTAAATTGATTAATAAACCATGATACCAAAAAAGATCGAACACCCGTAAAAATGAACCAAAACAAAAAGAGAACAACTTAAACGACTTCATCATACATCTGCCGTAGACCTTAGAATAAAAGGTACCAATCGCTATTCTGTGACACCCATGATCAAATACGTCACATGATGAACTAATAATAAAATAGCGAGTCGGTACCACCATACCAGGACAACGTACAATCCAGCAATAGATCTCGATCAATAATATTATACATGTGAAAGATATCAAATCGAACGTATGAAGACGATGACTAGGCATTACAAGAGGGATTGGGGTGAGGTGAGGGGATATGTATGTGAGAAGAGTGCAGAAAAGTAAGAGGTATGGTCCAGTGATAGAGAGAGTGGGAATCATCATATGGGTAGGCAGCAGTATATATACAGATGGGGGACACAGGAACGTGGATCGGGGTGAATAAAGATAATAATAACCAATATTGAGTAAGGAGATTCGCATTTGAAAAGACTTGGGAAGATAATACGAAAAAAAAAAATAATAATAATAATAATAAAAATATTATAAGATAAGCATATGAAGCATGTGATAGTAATGGTTATATTAACATGTGTATAGATGTAGCATTATAAATGAAAAATAATTGTTATATTACAGGTACATGACATAAACTTTTAACTAACAAATAAACAACTATTAACACCCCCCCCAAAAAAAACCCAACAACAACAGTATGTACAAATAGTTGCACACAAATATTATACCCGCAAGCGCGAAACGTCACACGCACGGGAACATCTGCACGTGTTCAATATGGCCAGAAGTTGATTCTGCTAATTTGAGGATAAAATGCACTTCTGGTAGAGTTTGAAAATATGGCACTGTATACATTTACTTTATAAGTGCAGGAAATGGTACATTGGCTTCCTTTGTTAGCACACAAGGGACATACGAATGTAACATATACGAATGTAACATTCATACAGTGAGCGTTTGCAAAAACGGGTACACGAGTGGAAAAGGTTATGCATTTACAATTATTACGATGTAAATGAAATTCAAATTATGTATATGATTGAAATATATTCAGAGACAGTCCATTGCAATGATTGTATCATCTTCAAATAAAACAAAATGCAAATTTTGAACAAGTATATATATATACGTATATAGGATCACGTGGATCAGAATACAGCCACTGTCTATAACGTTAACGTCGCCGCTTGTTATAAAAGTTGACGCTTTACCGCGGACGCGTATGGAGAAGTGTTTGTTGGCGTGTAGGTGCATCCAGGAATCAGCTTGGTAATGTCACTCAATGTGCAGATAAGTAAGCTAACTCATTAAGTTCTGCTGTAGTGTATGCACATTTTGCTGCGGTTTACATGTAATATTCAGCAGCAGTATTCATTTATGAGTATCGTATTTAATATGTAACGGTAACCAGTTCCGGGTACATCCATGCAGCCAGTTTGTAAAACAACACAGAAACGCCACAAGCGATTTTTAAGTAATAATTGAAGTGAAAAGACCTTTTTGCGTAAAATGCATTAGAATGTCACGCTTGTAACGTCCATTAAAAATCCAAAATGTTCCGTTTGGGTAAAACTGTATGCCTGGAATGGTCTACGATAACATCGCCCAAGACAGACTAACAATTAAGGTGTTTTAGGATAAATGAAGTGAGTTTTGTACCGGTAAAGTGAGAACTATTAAAAGCAAGGGATTACTTAAGAGATACAGGCCTTGACGTTTGATCGTTGACTTCCATTCAAATAATGCAGTATATATTAAACATTCTTGTACATGTGAAGTTTAATCAAACTCTGAAAAGAAATACAACCGATATAGTGACGACAAGTAAAACACAATGGGAGAATAGCGAGGTGTCAACAAGACCGTGATTCGTACTTCAGTTGTAGAACACAAGATGTGAACAAAGGAAAACATTTACACGGAGGTCATCGAAAACACACAGGGATTATAGGACCAGGTGTTCAAGGTGGTTAGCGTCTTCTGCTTCAAAGACAACAATCTGATTAAAACCAGATCTTAAATTCCACTCCGATACTCTACGTTCTAGTCAAATATCTGCTTTTCATCAGAATATATCGACAACAACCACAATAGAAATCTGTCAAATCGAGTAATGCCAAGCCCTCATAGCAAGACCAGGGGTAATAGCAAAGAAACAACAAGACACATTAATGAGTTTAATGGAAAAGCGACCTTGACATCGCAATAAGAAACATATTTCCTAAAGAGAGCACGATGGTGATCATAAAACTTGTCCGAAGTCCTCCTCAACCTGCATATTTTGAAACCCTGTGTTGTTAGATTGTCCGTCAGCAGCCGACATCTCTCACGGAAATAATTATATTCAAAGCAAGCTTTTGAAAAGCAAATCAAAAGCGACACGTAAACAGCAATGAGACCGGGTTGTAGCTATCAAGAAAGGGAAAGGTGACGATTAAAAATCGAAATCGTTCTGCTTACGTACAGCTTAGAAGTAGGTCGTCCCTGCTGGCCATGTTATACGGGAGATTGAGTAATCGACAGAAGTAGAAGAGTCTGTAGTGTCCTTGATTTCAAATGCGATGTGGCCAATACATTTTCCAAGGGATATAACGGGCGTGGACAACGTCGTCTCCCGAATTTTAGATTTCATAATAAAGTTTGAAAACGAAGCTGTACCGTTTCGGAAAATAAGAGGAACAATGTTTATGATATGATGTAAGTGCTACCTAGAGGCGAGAGCTTAGAGAGTCTACAGATATAACATCAAAACTTGACCAGGGTTTTTATTTTATATAATCTTGGACGTCACAATTACCAACAGCCTCCAAACGAAGTACATGTATGTTGTTCGATAGCGATTCTTCTAGATATTAGTATGTTCGTATTTTTTTTTATCATTTTTCAGTTTCAATATAATTACAGGCTTTTTCTATAGTCATAGACTCGCGGAAGTGTTCTTACCCAACTGTGCTACATTTATATCAAAACGAGATTAAGGGAAGGCTACTGTATATAAGAATACAAACTGCAGTGCATTGGGACAGGGATTTTTATCGCCATGTCGTATATTTACCGCCATGTCGTACATTTACAACAACTAAGTATACAAACGGTTTTTCTTGTCAACTCTTACATGTTTTATACCTTGATATACATACTCGAAACGTCACACATTACCATTTCACTGGTTGTGCTTTATGTACCTTCATGAAGTAAGTACCACATGCGGATTGGTCGAGTGGTTAACACTCCGGCCTTTCACGCAGGTGCTGGGGTTCGATGCCCGAAGTCGTCGTAGGCATAGATTATTCAGAGAAAGTGTTTTCTCCTGCCCACACAACTCCAACAACCCAAGTGGAGTATAAAATGGTCTGGGGTGGGTGTTGCGGGATCTGTGCTGTAGCATTCAAGTGAGGTGGCACTATAAATGATACCGTTGGAAGCACGGTCCCACTACAAACAGAACACAATATATCTCAGCAAACACGCAGGCATACGCACATAGGGATATAATAGCCAGGTGGCATAGGACTAGTAGTTAGCGCCTGATAATGCAGCTCCTGCAAATTCCCCAAAAATTGTATTGATTAATGTATATGCTTACTGTATTGATTGTATAAATTGTATTTCTATGTACTGTAAAGCGCTTTAGAGTGGTTTATTCTAGCTAGATAAGGCGCGATATCAAATAATAATATTATTATTACTGAGGTGTGTTTCAGTCTCTAAATTCAGACCTAAGGCGTGTCAAAGATAGACCGTTTCAGTCTCCAAAGTCCGACCTAAGGCGTATCATAGATCGACCGTTTCAGTCTCCAAAGTCCGACCTAAGGCGTATCATAGATCGACCGTTTCAGTCTCCAAAGTCCGACCTATAAGACGTATCATAGATCGACCGTTTCAGTCTCTAAAGTTGGGTATCATCAGTCTCTGATTTCGGGTAGACGATACCGAGGTGTGTCATGTACAGGTGTTTAAATATCTTAGAAACTCGTGTTTCAATATCAAAGTTTTACTCTCTACACAAACAATGTACGTATTGTTGTGTAGAGAGTAAAACTTTGATACTACATATTTCCACACTGATGAATCACATTGGAAAACAAACTCGTGTTCATAAAAAGACGACTACTTGCGTTTGTTTTTTTATTTTTATTTAAAAAATGTATTAATCGGAGAACCACTTTTGAAGACATCACTTTATTCTGTTCTACGGATATATCATCACTTTATTCTGGTCTACGGATATATCATCACTTTATTCTGTTCTACGGATATATCTCATCACTTTATTCTGTTCTACGGATATATCATCACTTTATTCTATTCTACGGATTTTTAATAAAGGTCATCGGATTGAAAAGATTTTTTTTCTTAAAATTTGAGTGATTTTATTTTAAGAAATAACACATATTTGGTCGAATTTTAAGTTTACTTTAATGTAGGTTGGTTATCCATTTCTTTAGTAAGTATTACTCAAACTTCACTGTAACAATTATCACCATTTTAATAGCTGCCTATTTGAGGGAAATACAGGACCGATGCACTCAGCCACCGTACCTCATTTACAACGAAGATATGACCTGGCCCCGACGTGTCGTTCTGTAGAGTCACTGATGTGATAAACCCGGGACATTAGGTTAGCAAAAAACAACTTTTTTCTCTAATAATTGCTGAACAATCATTTGTAATTATCTATTAATTTACCTACAATTATATGTACATTAATGGTCGTTAGAGGATAACAAATAAACACTCGCCAGTTATTCCGCCCTTACTGTAATAACAACAGTTTTCCTGTGATAAAAAAAACAACATATTTGAAATGTCATTTGTTCCATTTCCGATAGTTACTGTCCCAGCGTATAGGGTGTTACACACAGTCGGGCCGACATTTACACAGGGCGCATTCCTCAACATGGAGTTGTACTCATCACATTGTAAGTAATGCTCGGCGGTGTACCTGTAGCATACACTGTTTTCTATAGCATACCTAGTCTTAACGTTCAAGAAGCTTTAACTTTGCTACACGTTATATTTCTCGTGTACTGATCATACGTAGTTGTACAAGTAATATAACGAGTGGTAAAGTCAGGTGTGAAACACTAGTAAAGGCGAGCAAAACAGTTAAAACAGTATTTTATTCAACAATCAGGCATAGTTATCATGTAATTCAAGAGCTTATATTAATTCTTCTCCCAAATTTGGTTTCTTATTCTTTTTTCTTCTTCTGAAATTGTCGCTTTTGATTGTCTACGGGTATGAAGATGTTTTACTGTTAATATCAAGTATAAGAAAAGAAAGTTCGATATTGAAATCAAACAGAATGATACAGCTGGACTGAAGACCATAGCGGTCGAAAGTAAGTTAATTTGAAGTGTGTATTACAGTGAACATATTTGTCATAACATAATACAATTTACACGCAACTACAGGATAGGTAATTATTTATATGTTGGGGCCGCCCATGTTTAAAAAGAAAATGTTAATCCATTTACACGTTGTTGACCACTGTGTAACTGCTGCTGATGATGACTTGGTTTGTAGAAAAAAATGTCGAAAGGATCAGGGACGTTTTATGGGGTGTAAGGTTTACATTGGTGTATATGGTTATAGAGAGGGATTTATCAATGTTTCCATGTTCTGGTCCAGGAACTAAGATTCCATGAATCCTGGGTGTGTATAAACGTTTTTATATCTCCCGAGTCGACTGGACCCAAGGTGATTCCTAGGTGTGTATAAACGTTTTTATCTCTTATGAGTACGACTGGACCTAAGGTGATTCCTAGGTGTGTATAAACGTTTTTATCTTTCCTGAGTCGACTGGACCTAAGGTGTGTCCTAGGTGTGTATAAACGTTTTTATCTCTCCTGAGTCGACTGGACCTAAGGTGATTCCTAGGTGTGTATAAACGTTTTTATCTCTCCTGAGTCGACTGGACCTTAGATGATTCCTAGGTGTGTATAAACTTTTTTTTTATCTCTCCCGAGTCGACTGGACCTTAGATGATTCCTAATTGTGTATAAACGTTTTCATTTCTCCGTGACAAAGTTACTGTATATATATGGTTATACGTTTGGGGATCACCTCCGTTTCCATGTTAGTGAGCAAGGGACAAGTCCCTCGATCGGGACGGAAAAAGATCAACGGAATGTCAAATTTGTAAACATATGATAGCAGTGGGGGTCATCTCAATATTGGGATGGGGACGGACCACAGAACAATTTGTAGTATATACATGTTGTATGTACTTGCCTATTGTTGTTATATGGATTAATAGAATCTTCCTCTACTTTGAGGGAGTGACAGAGAAATCTCATACCCAAGGAGTGATGTTTTTTTGTTGTCTAACCCGGTGACACATTTTAATGACGTCACAATTGAACACGTGCTATTCGGCACGAGGCTATCTCCCCCTAGGGGGTGACAAGCTGATCTTTCCCGGCTAAAACGGGAGACACGCCTGTGAAGGGTGAGAGAAACATGGTTCCCCGATTCTGAATTATCCTCTCCCATTGAAACAGTCCATCTGCCCAACGGAACCCACATCCTTTATTTATAGAAGATAGATTCCTTGATCCAAGACCATTTTGGTTAAAATCCCTCTATCGTTTGGAAGGAGATGCATGCTGAATGATTTAACTCCATTTCCCCATATTGGGCCCCACTAATCTGTCCTCAAGAAGACAACATTGTTTCCGGGGCAATTTTTTGTTATATATATATATTTGTTTTGTTTTTTCAATCCGAAAGACGTCATAAATTTGAAAGAATATCCAAATTATTTGTTTTTCTGTCAGTTTGTTGACTTTTGTCCCTAAACGTCGTTCTTTAATCCCGTCCTCGTACAACACTGTCTGATGGGCGGACGTTAAACCCCCAACAAAGTCGTCCTTATACCACTGGGCATGCGTTCCAAAATCCCGCACGAGTTTAATTTGACAAAGATTAGTGATTCAACGAGAAACTATTTGTCTATTTTCAAATTTATGCAGAATTGCTCAAAATGCTTGTTTTTAAGTATTTAATAGACGCAATAGTTCAGCACGCCCATGCAGTGCCATCAGCGGCACTCTTTTTTCATTTCATCAAATTTTATTGACAAGATGTCGTAATCAATTGGATTGAATAACAGGCAAAGCCTATAAAAATTCTCTCCGTCAAATGGCCAAAGTTGAATAAACAAGGAGACATAATATTTTAGACATGTTGCAAATGAAACAAGAGATCCCAGAGGGATCTTGGCGCCCACCTTTGTACCATCTTCATTAGTTCTTTGTCAGTTCGATCTTTTCTCTTCTTTCCTCTAATCTGTTTGATCGAGTCATGTTAACAGTAAATGCACCTTGGGGTAACTTTTGATCTAAACTTAATACTGATGTGTATGAAAGCCAACCTTCAAAGTGAGTTTGTCATTTCACATATTTACTAGTACAGTACTTAATGTGAAAGAAATA